AGAGAGAGAGAGAGAGAGAGAGAGAGAGAGAGAGAGAAAGAGAGAGAGAGTGAGAGAGAGAGAAAGAAAGAGAGAGAGAGAGAGAGTATTTTAAGGTTTACTACTGGGGGCCACAAAGGCATTGAACGACGACTTTATCGCCAAAAATGACACGCTGTATTCAACCCCATTTTTTCGTTAATTTTTTTTCAAAACAACAATGATGAACACGTTCTCAGAGAAAAGAGTGACGAGCATTGGTCGTCACGCAAAAAGAAAGGGAAGGTCCTGTGCACCCAATTCAAATTTTTGTGGCTCTCTCGGGTCTGTGGTTGAATGCGCACACTGCTCTAACAACAACATTTTGTGTACTTGTAATTTGGGGTGTACTCTCTCTCTCGCGCGCGCGCGTGCCCACGCTCTGTCTTTCTCTCCACCTTATTTCTTTTCTTTATCTTTATCTCTCTCACTTTCTCCCTCCAGCAGAGAATAACGTAGCTTTGACAGAAATTAGAAAGTTGGAACAATCAACTAACTGTTGTTTGGCTTTCAGATCATTCATGTGGCTCATGCGTGAGGTTGTGAAGAAAGACATCGCTCCAATGAAAGATGTCCGGTTTCAGATGACTGTTGTACGTCCTTTGATGGAGGCTGTCGTAGCATATCCGGTCACCAATGTTGAGAACACAAACGAGGTGGTCATCGATTCGAGGAGGGTTACGATCCAACTTAAGAACATGAGACTCGTTGATAGGTTGTCGAAGCCTTGTTGGGTTGAGAAATATCAAGGTATGTTGGACGAAAAAGCTATAAACGAGAAAACGGATGAAGGCCCGACAAGTTAGTTGAGATGGCAACAGAGCAGGACCAATGAAGAGGAAATAAGTGTCATCCATCACACGTTCTCTAGGCTTTTCGGATCTTTGGAGCATGGAGTCGGGGCTTTCTTGCTAGTGAAGTCCTCGGTTTTAGGTCAGTCGCTTTTGGCCCTCCACCCTTTTGTGACCTAAATAAATAAATGCATGTACATATATGTGCAAGTATGCCGCTTCGGCGACAGACGGATGTGTGCGCATTTGGCACTGAACCACACAAACGTGGTTAACCTTGCATTTTCTATTATATGTTGACTATCTAAACCTTTTGTTATGGATGCAGAAGAGGGTGATGAAGAGCGGAGCAGCGACAACACAGAGCGAGACGAGGATGAAAAAAAGAGAAATGGAGACGGGAGGAGGGTGGATGAGACAGAGATGTCACAATTTCCTGGGAGAACAAGCAACGAAAGCGAAAAGAAACGCATCAGAGGGGGAGGTGCTTGCAACATACTCTCAAATGATAGACAACTTATGCAAAAGAATAAGTGAACGCAAGAGGGTAAGTAAACTCTGCCACCGTTATTCCCCAGGTAGGAAGTCACTACTTTAGGTAAGTTGCTTATTGCCGTTCACCCATTTGTGGCCTAAATAAATAAATCCATGTACATAGATATGCACGTATGCCCCTTCGGTGATAGACGAATGTGTGGGCACTTGGCGTGGAACCACACAAACGTGGTCACCCTTTTATTTTCTATTATATCTTAGTTATCTAAATCTTTTTGTTATGGATGCAGACGAGGGCGATGAAGAGGAAAAGCGGAGTAGTGACAACACAGAGCGAGACGCGGATGAAGAAGAGGGAGATGAAGACGAGAGGGGGGCGGATGAGACAGAGATGTCATCATTTCCTGAGAGAACGAGATACAAAAGCGAAAAGAAATGCAGCACGGTGAGAGGTGCATGCGACACACCCTCAAATGACAAACAACTGGTGCAAAAGAAGAATGAAACACAAGAAGGTAAGCAAACTCTGTCAGCGTTGCTCCCCAGGTAGGAAGTCACTACTTTAGGTAAGTTGCTTGTTGCCCTCCATCTTTTAGTGACCTTAATAAATAAATACATGTGCATATATGTGCAAGTATGCCGCTTCGGCGACAGACAAATACGTAGGCACTTGATGCATAACCACACCAACGTGGCCAACCTTGCATTTTCTATTATATCTTAGTTATCTAAACATTTTTGTTATGAATGCAGACGAGAGGAACAAAGAGGAAGAGTGGAGCAACGACAACACAAAGCGAGATGAGGATGAAGAAGAGGGAGATGGAGATGGAGACAGGAGGGGGGCGGATGAGAATGAGATGTCACAATCTTATGAGAGAACGAGATACGGAAACGAAAAGAAACCCAGCAGCGAGAGAGGTGCATGAGACACGCCCTCTAATGCCAGACATCTGGTGCAGAAGGAGAATGGAACGCAAGAAGGTAATCGAACTCTGTAAGCGTTGCTGCCAAGCTAAGAAGACACTACTTTAGGTAAGTTGCTTCTTCCTCTCCAGCCTTTTATAGCCTAAATAAGTAAATAAATATACATATATGTGCAAGTATGCCGCTTCGACGACAGACGGACGTGTGGACACTTAGCGCTGAACCATATAAACGTGGTCAACCTTGCATTTTCTTTTATATCTTACTTATCTAAACCTTTTTGTTGTGGATGCAAGCGTAGCAGCGACAACACAGAGCAATACGAGGATGAAGAAGAGGGAGATGAAGATGGGAGGGGGGCCGATGAGATAAAGATATCACAATTTTATGATAGAACGAGATACGAAAGCGAAAACAAACGCAGCAGGGAGAGAGGTGTATGCGATACGCCCTCAAATGACAGACAACTGGTGCAAAAGGAGAATGAAACGTTACAACGTAATCAAACTCTGTCAGCGTCGCTCCTAGGTAGAAAATCGTAGTGACAAGTCAAAAAATATGTTCACGTATCTACGATGCAACGAAGGTGTTGTGCTTTTTCATACGAATAGTCAATTTCACCTGAAACTTTGCACGACAGTGAAAGGCAACACATGATAGGTTGCAAGAAATTGAAATGAGAGAAGTTGAATGAACATCAACACAATAGCGTCGTTTCGACCGACATAATTGTAGACATAGTTCACATTTTTTAACGCTTCTCTAAACCACAATGGGGATCGAACCAGCGTGCAAAACAGCGTGAGGACTATTTTTATTTGAACAAGTACATATTGTAGAAGAAACAAATGCAAAGTTTCTATGTTTGTTATTAGAGAACTGCGCCCTCTGAGAATCCAATGTTATTTTGTTATGGTGTCGCATGACAGAGAGGCACAAGTCGGAGAGAGAGAGAGAGAGAGAGAGAGAGAGAGAGAGAGAGAGAGAGAGAGAGAGAGAGAGAGAGAGAGAAAGATTCGGAGAGATTCAGAGAGATTCGAAGAGATTTGGAGAGATTCGAAGAGAGAGAGAGAGAGAGAGAGAGAGAGAGAGAGAGAGAGAGAGAGACGTCGTAACGTCCTGCATCAAAAGTTTGACGAATTCTGTATGTTTGTCTTTTTGTCGTCGTCACAGGACAGTCATGTTGTTTCTTCCGAAGTATAGGGGAACAGGAGAGGACATTCGTCTCTTTCTTTCGGTTATTTGTTGAGAAATAACATGTCAAATGTAGCCAAGCTTATGAAGCGGTGAAAACCACATGCGAGACGAAAGTGCCCCCAAAAGTTCACTCTTGCGTGACATTTACGTTGGCAACAGGGACATTGTTTCAGTTTTAGCACGCAGTAGTCAACCTCTCTTTTTCTCTCTCTCTCTCTATCTATCTATCTATCTATTTATCTATCTATCTATCTATCTATCTATCTATCTATCTATCTATCTATCTATCTATCTTTTCGAAGTATCCTATAAAAACGATTCCAAGTTGTAAAAAAACTTAACAAATCGTCTGTGTCATTCCATTTTGACCGACATGTGTGAACAAGAACAAAAACTTACGACGCCGCGCAGCGTTCGGGAAGGAGCGACACAGAACACTGAAGAACAGGGTGTAGGTAAGAGAAGCCGAGCGAGGATGACAGAGTCACAGAAAAGTAACACGTGTGGTGGCGGCGCGAAGTGGTCATATGTTGGGAACAGAACTGGTCACCGGTCCAAGGATGAAAAATAAAGACGAAGAGCACCGCACAGAGGTGGCAAGTGAACCGTTGTTGCCATTGACCAGTGAGAGGTCAGCGAAGAGGTGGCAGAAAATGTTGAGGGACCCTTGGTACGCGGAATTGTACGATATAATGACAGAGGGTGAAGCGAAGTCTCCCCAGTTGATCATCGAAGAGTCATCCGACATTATGGGAAAAACGAAAGTCGGGGACATGACGAGAACGAGAGAAGAGCAGACTGACATTAATGATGAGGACGACTTGTTCTCCATGGAACCGTGTCAGCGGCGTCGAGAACCGTCCACCCAAGGCGTCCGAGAAGAGGTCGCGGGAAAACAGATGTCAAAGGTGCACCGCAGGACAAAGAAGAGAATCACGTACAAAAATGACAAAATGGTGGAGACGATCGATCTGAGAGGCTCGGACAATATGCACAGTGCGGCCCGAGAGGAAGCAGAAGAGGAACACGATCAGTCCATATCAAAAAAGTTTGACGGGGAGGAGGACGAGGCAACAAGCGAAGAGGGAGGTGACAGTAATACTTCTGACGGACATTTACGCGACACTCACGAGGCTGATGACGAGGACTGGAGGAGCAGCGATGGCACAGCGCAGGACGAGGGCGGTGACGGGGCAGACGAAGACGAGAGGGAACCTGAACGTAGAGGCGAGGGGGGCGCAGCCGACGCACCCCCAATCGACAGCCAAGTAGTGAGGCACGACAACACAGTTCAAAAAGGTAAACAAAATGTGTTGTAATTGCTCCCCTTGCATAACGATTACGTGGTAACGACGCAAAGTGATGACATTTCCTTAATGCGAGGATGTCGCTGTGATGAACGAACAGTTGAAACGGGCTGTCGAATTTCGCAGGTGAGTTCTTAATATTATTCTGTGCGTTGTAATGTGTGTTTTTGAGCAGATGGCACGAACCCGCAAAGAAAAGTGTGCGCGAGCAGGGGAGGACAGCAACAAGCCAATCAAGAAAGCGGCGTATTCTCGAAGGAAATGAAGGACAAGATGTTCCGGTCGGTCGCAAAAGCCTTTGCGTTCTCAGCAGCAAAGGACGCAACTCTGTACCCGACAGAGGATGAATTTTTTACGGCGCTGCAAACAACGGTCAAACTGATAGGGGAGAACGCGGAGGAAGGACTGCGATCACACGTAGCGGAGTGCGGGATTCGAGCAGTCATAGGGGAGTGCAACAGAATGATGA